CAGAGTGGCCCTATGCTTTATTAAGCTCATTAAAATTGTTGACACAGGAGACTTCAGTGTACTTTCTAATCTTAGTGCCCATTTTTGCTTTTTTGAAGCTAGCACTGGCTAAACTTACCCCATCCTTAGAAGGAAACCCTCCCTCTGCTCTTCCACCCTCTGGCTTTTGACCTGGAGCAGCTAAACCTCATTCATTGTTTGCTGAGACCTCGGTCGCTTTGTAGAGTTGCCAGCAAAGAGTTTTCAGACAGCAGCAGTGCTCCTTCCTATCACCTGGGCCGGAGCCAAGTGGGCAAGTTAGAGCAAGAGAGGGCAAGTTTATTGCCCTCGGTTCCATAGGGCAGAAGAAGAGAAAGAAAATATCATTTGCAAATCTGCTCAGGGTAAAACTGGAGCACTGGCCTTGCCTCACGCTTCAGGAGATGAACATGTGTTGGATTTGTTTGGGGTTTTTTGCTTGGCTCTGTCATTCTTTTGTGGAAGTGTTGCAAATCCTGTAATCATAGTAACTTGAAAGGAAAACTACGAAAATAAAGTGTTAAAGTCAGAAAAGAATGTTTACATATAGGCATTTTCTGCCAGTAGTTGTTGGAATGCAGAAAAGCAGGCTTTAAAAAACAGCAAGGAAAATAAGCACTAAAAAAATGATTCTCTCTTTTGCTAATTGTTAACAGATTGTCAGCAAACTCGAGCGAGAACGGGGGTTTGAAGAAGTCCAGAAACAGCTCCAGCAAGTAAAAGCCTTATTCGATGAAAAGAAAAAATGCAAATGGCTTTGAGCAGAGCACTGACTCGCAGCGTCACCGTGGGGGATTTTAAATAAGCGCTACTGCTCCCAGAACTGTTTTGACTGACTACATGTACAGGGTTTGAAACATTTGGACACTCTTCTCCACTCTGACCATTCCAAGTAATACCTACGTTTGGGAATGAAGTACGGGCAGGGGTAGATATTCAAACGTGGGCACGTGAAAGCGAAAGTGAGTCTAGCGTCGGCAGGGCCAGCATTTTTAGGTACTCGAACACATGTACCTTTTGGTTCAAAAACACTGCCTAAGTAAGCAAGCTTTCCGCTTACTTAAAAACAAGCTTGCAGGCAAGGCGCAAAACATGCTGCAAGTTCAGAGTTGCCCATGTGACCTTGCAAGTTGCTTCTTAGCTCTTTTTTGTAAGAGAGAAAGCCGATGTTTCGCCACATCCTTTCAGCAGCCTTGGCAAACTGTGAGGATGAGCTCCGGCTTCAGAATACGGGTCAACTGCAGTCTCCTTCCTTCCAGACAAATGTATGCTGGTTCCTGTTTGGGGAAAAAAAAAAACAACAAAACAAAACACAGCACCAAAGTGACACTTAGGACAAGCGTGTTTGTTTAGCAGAAGAAGTGGGTCTGAGGTTTGAAGTCCAAATGCCACGTGGTGGGACTTCTCTTCCTTAGGTTAGAAATTCCCCGTGCTATGCGAAGCCAGCCACTGAGCCGAGGGGAGGCTTTTGGAGAAAGGCGCTAGACGGGCATCAGTCTGTGTTTACATTTCTACCTTTCCATCCTTAAATAAGCTGTGAAACACTTGTGAGCAGCTTCACACGTGAAACCTCCGTGCAGCTGCGCCGCATCGGAACGCCGCTGTGATTTGACGAAGCAGCTGACGATGGCTGAACTTCGGTGCACAAACCTGTACTCGGGTGCACGATGGGCCCATGCGTCAGTGCTGACAGTCCAGGCCAGTCTTGCCATCCCTGTACAAGGGCCTCACAAATCTAAAGCCAGCAATTTTTTTTTTTTTTTTTTTGCTTTTTTTCAGGTTGTCTACACCAAGGCTTTGTCAAAAGAGGCTTAGTTTAATAACATGTGAGAAGAGGAGGGCTGGTGTAAGCTCTGACTCTGTGTGAGAAACTCTTTGATGTAAACATGACAGGGTGGTGGGGGGGGAGGTAACTGCCTTGGTCCTGCTGGGGTGTTTTTTTGAGGCTTGGCCATTTTCAGAGGAGGGGCTCCATTGCATCTGCACTGGTGGCTAACGTTAGCCCAGCTGGAAAGC